GCTTTATCCCTGGGAAGCAAGGATGGTTCAACATATGAAAATGAATCAATGTCATACACCACATTAAAAAAATAAAGGGAAAAAAGCCACATAATCATCTCAATTAATTCAGAAAAAATATTTGACTATCCTTTCATGATAAAATAAAAACACCAACATAAATTTTCAAAATCAACACCCTTTCATGACAAAATAAAAACACTAAACAAACTAGGAATAAAAGGAATCTACCTCAACATCCAAAATATATAAAGAACTCACATGCCTCAACACCCAAAAAGCAAATAACCCTATTAAAAAATGGGTGGAGGATGTGAACAGACACTTCTCCAAAGAAGAAATGCAGATGGCCAACAGGCACATGAAAAGATGCTCCACATCACTAATTATCAGGGAAATGCAAATTATAACCACAATGAGATATCACCTCACACCAGTTAGGATGGCCAACATAGAAAAGACTAGGAACAACAAATGCTGGCAAGGATGCGGAGAAAGAGGAACCCTCCTACACTGCTGGTGGGAATGTAAACTAGTCTAACCATTGTGGAAAGCAATATGGAGGTTCCTCAAAAACTCAAAACAGAAATACCATTTGACCTGGGAACTCCACTCCTAGTAATTTCCCTCAAAAAAACAACTTCTCAGATTCAAAAAGACATATGTACCCCTATGTTTACTGCAGCACTACTTACAATAGCCAAGATATGGAAGCAACCTAAGTGTCCATCAGTAGATGAATGGATAAAGAAGATGTGGTACATATACACAATGGAATATTACTCAGCCATAAGAAAAAAACAGATCCTACCATTTGAAACAACATGGATGGAGCTAGAGGGTATTATGCTCAGTGAAATAAGTCAGGCAGAGAAAGACAAGTACCAGATGATTTCACTCATTTGTGGAGTATTAACAATGAAGCAAAACTGAAGGAACAAAAGAGCAGCAGACTCAGAGACTCCAAGAAGGTACTAGTGGTTACCAAAGGGAAAGGGGGTGGGGAGGGAGGGAAAAGGGGATCAAAGGGTATTATAATTAGCACACATAATATAGGGGGACACAATGAAGGCAGGATAGCACTGAGAAAATAAGTAGTGTCTCTAGAGCATCTTACTACACTGATGGACAGTGACTGCAATAGGGTATGGGTGGAGACTCGATAATAAGAGTGAACATAATAACCACATTGTTTTTCTTATGAAACCTTCATAAGAATGTATATCAATGATACCTTAATTAAAAATTTAATAAATAAATAAAATTCTTAGAAGAAAACATAGGAGTAAATTTTTGTGACCTTAGTATAGGCAACAGTCTCTTAGATATGGTACTAAAATCCTAAGTGGTGAAAGAAAAGAATATACAAATTGGGCTTACCCAAAATTAAAAACTTTGTGCTTCAAACATAACCATCAAAAAAGTGAAAAGATTCCCCACACGAAGCAAAAAAATAATTGAAAATAATATAGTTGAACAGGGACTTCTATCCAGGATATATGAACCCTTACAACTCAACAGTAAAAAGATAGATAAGCTATTTTTTCAAGTGGGTCAAAGATCTGAATATGTATTTCTCCAAAGAAGATATGCAAATGGCCAATAAGCATGTGAAAAGATGCTCAATATCATTAGACATGGGCAAAATGCAAATCAAGAACCACAATGAAGTACCACTTCACAGAGAATATAATGTGTTGGTGAGGATGGAGAGGAAATGGAGCTTCATATATTGCTGATGAAATGCAAAATGTCACAGCCACTTTGGAAAACAATCCAGCATTTCCTCAAAATGCTAAACATAGAATTACCATATGATTCAGCAATTCCACTCTTTGTTATCAAAGAAGAGAAATGAAAACATATGCCTATGTAAAAATTCTACATGAGTGTTTATAACATTATTATTCATAAGAGCCCCAAAGTGGAAACAACTCATTTCCATAATCTGATGAATGGATAAACACAATATATATACATTAAATGGAGTATTATTCATCAACAAAAAAAATAAAGCACTGATACATGTTGCAACATGGTTAAATCTTGAAAAAATTATGCTCAGTGAAACAAGCCATTCCCAAAAAAGAAATATATTATATGATTCTATTCATATGAAATGTCCAGAATAGGCAAACCTATAAAAAAAATAGATTAGTGTTTGTCCTCACTGGAAAGGTGAGGCAGTAATGGGAAGTAACTGCTAACAGAGTTGTGGAGTTGTTATACTCCACAATTGAGGGAAATCATTTGGTACTTGTCTTTCTCTGCCTGACTTATTTCACTGAGCATAATACCCTCTAGCTCCATCCATGTTGTTGCAAATGGTAGGATTTGTTTTCTTCTTATGGCTGAATAATATTCCATTGTGTATATGTAGCACATCTTCTTGATCCATTCATCTACTGAAAATGAACATTTAAATGAAAATGTTCTAAAACTGATGGTGGTGATGATCTCACATGTCTCAGAATAGTACTAACCACCATGGAAAGGTGAACTTTAAATGAGTGAATTGTGCAGTTTGCTAAGTACATCTCAATAAAGTGAAAAAGAAGGGAGGAAGGGAGGAAGGGAAGAAGGAAGGGAGGGAGGGAGGGAGAGAGAGCAGGGAGAGAGGGAAGTAGGAAAGAAAGAGGAATAAAGAAAAGAAAAGCAGGCACTGATGGATTTGAAAAAGACAGTAAGATGATCCCACCTATGTTACAGGGAAATAACTCTGGCTAGAGAATTGGAGGGGAAGGGGGCAGTTAAACTAGAGGAAGAGGGGTTAGGAAGCAGTTGTTAGAATCTATATGAGAGATGCTGATAGCCTACACCAGAGCAGAGGGAGTGAGGGCAAGATATAGAGATAGTTTGGAAACTATTCCATGATGGCAAAGCTTTTATGAAACAAACATTTCATGTTCTGCATGAATATAAATTACCACAGTCCTGGGGAACATAACTTAATACCATGTTACAAAGGTCTCAAATTGCTCATACACTGTGGCCCATTTCAAAGTCTATCTTAAGAAAAACTTTTAAAAATGTTTTAAGCACAAAATATGTACCATAGCATTATTTATGAGGGAAAGCAACCTAAATACTCAAAAATAGTGGACTAATTAAGGAAGTGGTAGTACATCCATATAAATTGAATATTATGCAGTTGTTAAAATATTTTAAAATTATATAGAAAATACATATGTTATATTAAGGAAAGGGAAATTTGACACAAAATTGCACATAATATGAGCTCTTAACAGTGTAAAAATGTCTATGAATTTATACTAATTTATATATTTTATAAATATTTCATATTTTTATGAAAGTTCAGTGAATGTTTACTAATTGCTTTCTATGTTATGAATGTTTTTGTATAATACTCTTCTATATTTTCTACATTTTCTACAATGATAGTTCACTATTTTTGTCCAAAAAAACTATTATATTTCCTTTTTTAGAAAAACAATAGTGATTTTATTCTTAGATTTGAAGGGCAATTCCATAGCCATCCTTCACACCTCCTCCAGGATTTCCTGGAGCAGGTATCCTGGCTGGCAGGTGTGGGGTTTCTGTTTTGTGCTACCTTCATCCACTCCATTTCAAGTATGTCAAGAGTCTTTCATGTCCTACAGTTTGATTCCCAGAGAATCCTTTTGGTACCTGTCTTTTGATGAATTAAGTCAGTCCCACTGAAATCTGCCCTCATCTTCCACCTGCAGAGGTGGAGTGGCAGGTGCCCTCTCTGTGCGCAGTGGTGGTCCTGACAGGCAGAAAAAGAACCAGGATTTGCCACCAAGGGGAGACCAGGCTCAAATGGGGAGCCTACCTTTGGCCTGCCTCTATGCCCACCCACAAAAGTGAGTGTATAAAACAGGTGACTTGACATGCCCAGGACCCTTATAATGGAATGAAAGTATTTTTAATTTAGTTCAGCTCATTACTGAATGTGTACCACAGTCAGGCCCCTTTCTGAAGCTGGGGGTTGGGAAGGGTAGTAGTGGGTGAGGGTGTGATAGAGATTCAGGAGAAAATAGAAGACTTCTGAGATTGAGCCACAGCAGGTGGAAAGTTTACGTCATGTGAGAAGCTTCCCTCTAGTGCACAAAGCCTTCCACTAACATCCCTTCCAAACCTGTGTCCACTACTAGTTGGCAAAATGACGAATTCCTCCAGCAGGCATCCTGTTCCCCAGGCACCAGCTCTAACTCCTGGAACATTTTTGCTGTGGAGTCCACATCTTCCTTAGGACTTCCAGCCATTGGTCCACTCCTATGAGCCATCTCCAAACAAGCCCAACTCCTTTCCCACAATTCCTCAGCCCCCAAGCCCTGAATTTCTTCAGGATCTCGGCTCACTAACTTCATCCAGACAGCTCCTAGGTGTCCAGATTTGGGTTTTCTTGTCCTGGCCTCCCTCTCTCTGGCTGCCCTGCCTCCTACTATACAGCGACAATCTCACGGCCTGAACGCCAAGACTGTGGAAGAAGCCAATGCTCGTGGAAGTCTCTGCGTTCCAGAGTGCACTCTCAGTATCCAGCTCGGGTGTGGCCTCCTCCAGGAAGCCTTCCTGACTCCCCAGGTGGGTTCCTCTTCCTGCTGAGACTCCCAGAGCACCTCACTCTAAGTAACCACCGCCTGGGTGGTGGGCTGGTCGCGCAGCCTCCCACTCACGCTCGGCACTTGCTGAGAGCAGGGACTTATGTCTCATTTTCTAGGGTTTCCTGGAGCCGAACCCTAGCGTCTCACAGGAGCCTGGCCCGGAGGGAAGCTGAGGCGGGAAGGAACGGAGAAGAGTGAAAACATGAATGAAAGACCGCGCGAGTGAACGAATGGATGGTTGCATGGATGAGCGGAAGGCCGCTGAGGCTGCTCCAGTCCCCAGACTGCTAAAACAGACAGCAAGCCGAGGAGGCGGGACGCAGGAATGAGTGACCCCCCGCGCTCACAGCTGCAGGAAGGCGGTGCCGGACGGGGCGGGGCGGGGGCGGCGGGAGGAAGCTCCTCCGCGGGTCCCGCGACGTGCAGACGCGCGGACCCACAGCGCGCAGGTTCCCGGCTCGCTGCCCGTCGCCATGCCCTCCTACACCGTCACCGTGGCCACCGGCAGCCAGTGGTTCGCTGGCACCGACGACTACATCTACCTCAGCCTCGTGGGCTCCGCGGGCTGCAGCGAGAAGCACCTGCTGGACAAGCCCTTCTACAACGACTTCGAGCGCGGCGCGGTGAGGGCGCGGCCCGGACCGGGCTGGGGAGAGCGGGGGCCGCGTCGGGGAAGCAGGGACCTGGCTGGTCTCAGCGGCCGGGACCGGTGGGGGCGCGTCCAGGACCGCGTCTCCGCAGCTGGGATCCAAGTTCGGGGACGGGGGCTTCCAAGATGAGGTCTGCAGGTCACCTCACTTCTCTGGGAGCAGAAGGTGCAAGATTTGCTCTGCATTCACAGTTGGGGCACCTAGGGTCTGAGAGGCCCCGTAACTGGGCGAGTACTGTAGGCAGCATACTTTCGCCCTGCTTTGTAGGGCTTCTGCCGGTGGTTGGCTGGGAACTGGGGTCGTGCTCACGGACCCTGTGGATCCTTGTCCTCCAGTGAAGCATGGATGGCACCTCGGAGCAGCCCTGAGCTATGGGGAGAAAGTGCAGGTCTGTGGGTTCCAGAGGTTTGAGTTCATCTGGGTCCGACTGCTAGCTCATTATCTCCTCTCTGGGCCTCAGTTTCCCCAAATGTAAAACGGAAGCGTTGGTTTCAGGCTGGTTCAGGAGTCTGGGTGAGCCCCAGCCCAGCTAGTGGCCCAGAGTGGCACTAGTAGATACCTGCCCACCTGGGTAGCTCACATTCTGAGGACAGATCCCCAGGGGAGTTTAGTGGGCAGGAACAAGAGAACCCCAGCAAGGAAAAGTCTTTTGCAAACGTGGAGGTTGTCATGGGCTCCCAGCAGAGTGTACACCAGGCAACACTTCCACCCTACCTGTGAGGGCTTAGTGGAGGAGGAATAGAGAGAGGGGCTTCCCTGAAGCTGTTTTAGGGAGCAAAGGAAGCCAATGTCTGTAGCAGCCCTAGTCTGCGGCTCCAGGTACCCTGTGAGGGGAGGCAGAGGTGGTCTCATTTAGAAGCAGGCTTCTGATGCTGAGCCAGGCAAGAATTCCAGCCTCGTGGCTTTCTCCATGAGCATGTCAGGTCACTGTCCTCACCGAGAGTTTACTGACGAGCCCAGCCCACTGACAAACACATAGGAAGCGCCCATTAAGTAACTGTGCTGGTAGTCCCGACATGCTGCAGTTGCCCAGTGAGTATCTGAGCCCTTCCACCACCTCCAGCTCCTGAACAGGACCAGACAGATTTAAAATTCACAAAGCTGACTTTTCACCACTTAGCTGATTATTAGGTTGAACCATATGAAATTGCTCATAGTTGGTAATTTTTGACAAACAAAACTGGCAGTTTCATATGGTTTTTGGGTAAAATTGGGGAAGTGTTTTCGGTCTGTAGAGCCTAAAGTAAGTATTAATAGTCCACTCTTTTTCCAGATTCCAAACTCAAAGTGGGCTTGATTTCTACTCAGGAGCCTCAGTACCCACGTGGCTCTTAACCAAGTTCAGTGTATTAACCTGGCTTGAGCTTCCTTCAGCAGAGTTAGGTCCTGGGTATATGAAAACAACTTCCTACTGTCTGGTTTGCCCAGTCAGGAAAGTGGCCCAGAGGATGGTGGTGCAGTAGGGCTAATGAGTCACCCATTTGGGATGATGACACCCTCTGTCATTTCTGAAGCATTTTCTTAACTCCCATTGTTTCAGAGATGTCCCCCAACACCTCAGGGAAGAGGTTCCCCTTTATAGGTGGCCGCAGTGGACCCCACTCTCCTCCACACACCACACTGGTATGCTTCACCCTGCGTGTAGCTTCTCCCATGGAGAGACACGGTGGTGCAGCCCTAGCAGGGTGAAAACACTGCCCTATTCATTACTTCCCTACCCTGAAAATTCATTCAAATGACGCTATGATCAAACACCTCTGAGAATCCCAGAAGCAAATTTCAGGAGACATTTGCATGTCACATTTCCATTGGGGTGACAGAGGGCTAGTCCGGAAAGGCTGTTGCACTGCAGGTAATCAGCTGGCTCCCAAATGCTCTTTGCAAAACAGCTTTTGAGAAAGTTCCTGTTGATGCAGTTACCCCACACTTTATCTTGCATAGTCCAGAGCTACTTCCTTCTTCTTCAGCCAGTCTCTTCCTGGACAATTCGACCTTCAGGTAAAGATGAATGAAAAACCTTAGAGGAAATGCTTGCTGAGAAGATAAGGCTATCCTATTTTACTTGAAAAGTGCCAACAGTTATCATGGGTAACAAGGGTCCAACAGAAAAGACTACTTGCTGATAACCAATTTGGTCATTTCAAGGTCATTAGTAGGCGGGTACCCTGACTCCTTTATGCACCATTCAGTCAGATAATAGACAGAACTGATGTTTTCTCAGTAAATTGAGTTACAAACCCCTGGTTACTCTCATCAGAGTCTGCATAGTGATTTAGGACAGGACTGGTCATTGGAGTCACTGCCCGTAGGTAAGATTGTCCTGGAAACAGCCACACCGTTGGGTCCCCATTGTCTGCTGGGGTAGTGGGGGGAGGAATACCAGACTGTATTTCCTGATAGACCAGAGACTATCCCAGGTCTTAGCAAACTTGACAAATGGATTTTTTTCTTTAACTCTTGTCAGTTTAAACTAATTCAAGGTGGATGGGATGAATTGAACAGATCTGAATATCACTGGGAAATCTCTCTTGGCCCATTTTCATTCCATGACAGCACTCTTAGGAAAGCCAGGAGCAGTAGAATGGTGTTCAATACGCTGTCTTTGAGTATATTTGGTAAGTCTTAAGTATATTCAGTGACTGTTGTTTTACAATATTCATGAAGAATGCATTCTAGAGTCTCTCCTCAGAAATGACAGTGTATTACTGAAGAATAAATATTTCCTTATGAACCTGAATCTCTATCCCCATCTTCCCTCGATATCCCATCTCTTCCCCACATTCTACCTCCTCTTCCTTCTGTTCCCCCCTCTGCTTCCTGTTCCCAAAGCCCCCGAAGGGCCCCCAGGGCTCTTTTCTGCTACAGTTTCTCCCTCCCATTCTATCTTCCAGTCTCCGCCAGTTTCCCCTTCTCTGCTCCCACATCCCTGCCCCCTGCCCCTAGGTCTCCTAAACCACTATCTCCTTCCTCCCTCTCTCTGCCCCATCACCCCCCATAATCTCCCTCTTTCCCTGCTCCGCAGCCACCTCCTCTCCCCGCCACTCCTGCCAGCCCCTCACCAGCTCCCTCCTAAGCTGGGCCACCCCAAGACTCTCTCCTCTGTCTTGCTCCAACTGAGAAATCTCTCCCTGTGTCCTAACAGTAGGGATTTGAGGCAGAGACAAAATGAAACCTTTCTTAAAATGCTGATATAAAAATCAGTGAAAATTGACTTCGCTAAAATATCAAAGCCTTAAAACCAGATAGCCAATAGAGTTGAGAACAATAAATGAGATCAGAAAACTGATCCTCTTGTGAAATGAAGCTGGTGAACTGCTCCATGTCCCTCTTCGCATCTGATTATCGCCAACCCCCAACTTCTGCCCCAGGGACCTCCATGCTCCAGCTACCTCCGTCCTCCTGTGTGTTCCCCACCTGGGGAATCTTGCTGTCTCTGCTCTCTCTGTTTCCTGCATCTGAAATGCCCTGCCCATTCCTCCTCCTCCCCACTCACCTCACCTCTGAAGCTGCCTCAAATGCCATCTCTTATGACGCTTCCACTCTACGTTGCCCCTTCCTATTCCATATCAAGGGGTTGAGCCAGGTTTCAAAACCAGGTCATCTGGCTCCCAGTCCAGGGTTTTTCCCATGATGTGGCTACCAATTACTCAGTAGCCTGGTAGTTGCCTGACCTCTCTGAGCCTCAGTTTCCATCTGTAAAATGGGATAATCATCTGCTCAGCCATGCAATGTACTGTATTTACTTAGGTCCTGTTCTGAGCCATCCACTGTGGAGAACAGACATGAGAATTCAGTGTGTCACAGCAAATAAATGGTGAACACAACATCTGCCCAGCATATTGGCCCATAGAGAAGAGAAAGGAGGATGTACTTGCACAGGACCCTGAGACCTTCCTGGAGGCCTTTCTGTATCCTCTGTGACTCTCCAATAGTGGCTTTTTGGGTGCCAGAGCCACAGTCATCAGACTTTGTCACTAAGACTTCCTGAGTTGGGTGGGACTGAATTACTCAAGCCCTGGTTCACCTCTTGTAGAACCAGGCCTGAAGCCAGAGCCAGCCAGACTGGCAGGCCTTCCCTCTCCCTGCCCGAAGCCCCCCAAAGCCCGAAGCACAGTGAGTCTGTCCAGTCTGCTCATCCTGGGTGAACCTGCAGGGCCCTCTGCTAGGTACCTACAGAGCTGGGTGGGGAAGGGGGACCTGGAGGGTCCCATTCTCCTGTGTACAGCCACTGTACTGATGACCTCTGTCCCCTCCCTCGAGCCACTGCCTCTCTTCCTTGTCAGCCACCACCTCAGCCCTCCCACTGAGAGTCACCCGGTCCTGGAGAGCCACCTCCCTTCCGGTTTTATTTCTGGGTGCTGGGCTCCTCTCTCCCATGGGTGTCCACCTTAGATGCCCATGGCACCTGTTACTATAGACTACAGGTCTTCACCCCCTTGCCCCAGCCTTCTTAGCATCAACGCCTGTGCACATTCTGCCCCCTACAGCTCTTTAGAGCCGCAAGGAAGCCATTTCCCCTGGAGCAGTTGTCACCGTCCCAGGCCCAGGCCCAGGCCTCACCACACGCTGACTTCCCTTTGCTTGGCATGCACAGCCAGCAAGGAAAATGCCCACATCTCCCTGCTCCCCACCCTCCCTATTCTGACCACACGGCCCCTTCTCCACCCTCATGGCGTTCCTTCCTGATTTTGAGCCAAGAAGCTGACTCCTGGGCTCAATTTCTTCCTCCCACATCTACTTCTGGAGGTTCAATTTGGCCCATGTAGTCAGGAATGGACCACAGTGAAGGGGCCATGCTAGTTCACAGCTGCTCACAGGCAGTGTGGAGCCTGCTGCCCTGTGACCCCCAGGAGTCTGGGAATGAGGATCAGGTGGTCCTGATGCTTGGCAGCTGGTAGCCTGTACCCTTAGAGAAAGGAGCCCACTAGGTCTTCTTGTCATTTGCATTTCTCAATGGCCCTACAAGCCAGGCTTTATCTCCATTCGATGGATGATGAAGAAACAGCCTCAGGGTGTGATGGGATTTGCAGAGGCCCGTGATCAGTCACGCTGGAGCTAGGATGTGAAGTCAAGGTCCCCTGAGGCTGGCTCAGCTGCCTTGACTTGGGACTTACCTCACCCTATGCCCCTCACTGCCCTCCCCACGGTCCTCACTGAGAATCTCTGTCTTGGCCCCATGAGAGGGCCAAGATCTCTGGAGATCCCCTGGCAGGTGCAGCTGAGAGGAGGGGTGGGTCCTGAAGACCTCCTGTCCTCAGCACCTGGACCCCACTCTGCTTCTCCAGGTGGACGTTGGGCCTCTTATCCCATCAGAATCCTCCTGGTGGCCCACTGACACCTCCGTTCAGGGTCTCCCATCTCCCCACCCCAAGAAGCCACCCCACAAGAGCTGTGTCCTCGCCTCCTCCCATTTCCCCAGATCACCCAGTCCCTCATTGGGGCTCCTCTCCCAGCTCTGCACCCCAGGGCCTCCTGGCTTCTCCCCAGGGGTCAGCACTCTGCAGTATAGATGGGCCACCTGCCTGAGGGCTCTCAGGCCCTCGCCTGTGGCCCCCGTTCTTCCACAACATGCTGTGGGGCAGGAGGGATCTTCCCCTCTGCCGGATGGGGTGTCCAGGAAGGACAGATGTGCTTGTACACCTGTCAGGGCCGAGAAACATCTCTCTAGCACACAGACCTGGCTCATCAGCCCTCGGAATCTTTCTGAGGGTCCAGGCCCCGACCACAGGCCACCAGGAGGACATTTCTGCTTTCTGACCCCCATGTCTGGCGTCCGTGGCAGCCACAATGTGCAAGCTGCCAGCTGTGTTCAGAGCCAAGAGGTTTGCTGAAAATAACCAACTTCCATTCCTCCTATGAAGTCCTCCCAAGGTTTCCTCTGGTAGCTCAGAGGGATGAAGTAGGGGTGCATGTGCAGGGTGAACACCCATCCCCTCCATTTACTTCACTATCACGGGGAGAACTCTAGGTTCTGCCACTAAGGAAAAAGTTCATGGATTGATGAAACCTGGTTTAGAAAGTGCCTCCAGAGGGTGTTGAAGCCAAGCTTCCCAAACCTGCTGGTCTTTGACTTGCTCGATGCAATGCTTGAGCCCCTCATCTTCCCCTCCTGTCTGCCATCAAGAGCTACGGACACACAGCTCATCCAAAAGCCATGAAAGGGTTGCCCTGCGCTGACACCGTGCCCACCTGTCTCCTGGAGTCAGGAGGCTGGGAGCATGGGTTGCTGAGCAGCTTGGTCCTAGGGGCCCAAGGGTGGGCACACAGCCTGATGTAGCACCTTCTAACAGCAAAGCCAGCCTCCACCCCGCAGTGTGCCACAGATGTAACGGAAGCTGCTCAGATCATTTTCTCGCATCGCTGTGGCTCAGTAAACAGCAAATGCCCCAGGACGACTGCAATCAGCAGCCTCACTTGTATCTGAGCCTCCCCATGTTCCCTCAGTTAGTTGCCCCACAGAGAATAAGAGATGAAGGGGCTGTGCTGTAGAGAATTCCAGCTCTACCCACCAATAGCTGAAGTGGGACCTGTTGAGCCCACTCTCCTCATCTGTGACGCGGATTGCAACGCCCCCTCCTCCTAAAGCAAGTTATGAAAGGCAGTGCCCGAATGGGAGGGCCAGTTTGTCCCCGCAGGCCCTGGGGGGTTAGAAGGGCCAGCAGCCTGACTGCCCTCATTGTGAGTGGGGGCAGCTGAAGCACAGCCTGGAAGAGGGGCTGTCTGCCTGGGATCTCCGCTTCGTCCAGCCTGAACCATGTACATACAGCAGAATGGCCTCCTCTGAGCAGCATGGGCCCTCACAACTAGAATTCCATCTCCCCAAGGGCAGAGTCCGGGACTGGTCTGCGCCTGTCACCCGGGGCTCCGCACAGACCCTGACCAGACGTCTTGGCTGATGAACCAAGGTGTGACACCAGGCTCAGGAGCTCCCAGATGGTCTTACTGGCCTTCTGTTCTTCTCAGGTTGATTCTTATGATGTGACAGTGGATGAAGAACTGGGTGACATCCAGCTGGTCAAAATCGAGAAGCGGAAATACTGGCTCCATGACGACTGGTATCTGAAGTATATCACACTGAAAACTCCCTTCGGGGACTACATCGAGTTCCCCTGCTACCGCTGGATCGCCGGCGAGGGCGAGATTGTCCTGAGAGATGGACGAGGTAAGTGGCTCAGGCCCTTTCTGCTGCCTGAGCTTCCCCTGAAAGCGCTTGCAGGCCCTCCCTCCTTGGAGCGGTATTCCTGGGATTGGTAACAGTGCTGCTCTGGGCTGAATGCACCTGCAGGGGGTGGCCTTCCTCAGGGCACTAGCAAGCCCCAGGCCCAGACCGTGGGGTGAGAGGCCCCTGGCCACATGACCAGCTGTGTCCTCCCTTTGTGCTACAGTCCTTGAGGCAGTAGATTATGACCCCTTTTTGTCAGGGTAAGTAGGGGCCATAGAAGCAAATACCCTTGGGATGTACCCCTTGATGGGTAGTTCTCCAGGTCAGCTCTCTCGGTCTCCTCTCTCTGAGGTCACACTAGGGCTTGGGCTCCAAGGCACCTGGCAGGCTGGGAAGAGACCAACCTTCCCAGGTGCCAGCTCTGAAGGGCCGTGGGCAGATCTGGTGTTCACATCACCTGTTGTTAAACCTGAAGTACCACTTTGCTAAAAGAGAAAAGATCCTAAAATCTGCCCTCGTAAATAAGTAAGTAAGACCCTGAAAGGTACAGCCCCTAATCTGGCACTTCCTTGGGAGGCCATTCTTTGTCCGAGAATCGCAGCTGGCCTGGAATAGAGGAGCAGATGGAAGCAGATGGCAGAGGTCTCCCTCTGAATGGCTCCCCCTTGCACACCAGCCTCTTAGTGTGTACCAGTCAAATCCACACCTTGGCAGAACTCCACCTTACTGCAGGTCCTGGCCCTTCAGTTTGCTCAGTCCAACCTGGAATGACCAGCCATCGAATGCTGGGCACCTGCCAGAACATGGGGAGGGGACACAGCTGCTGCCAGTGACACACCCTATCACTAGGTCATTCCTTCTTCGCAGAAGTTCTGTGGGGTTGGCAAATGAGAATGATTATTTCCCCACATTTGTAGCTAAGAAACCAAGATGAAGAAGGAAAAAGGTTCTTGCCTACCTGGTGTTCTTAAACTATCAGGCCACATCCCACTGTTTCTGACACAGAATTTAACTTAAGAAACCAAATTCCAAGGATATTCAAACTGAATGATGGGAGCTGGGAGGATTTTTGTCCCCTTACCTCAGGAGCAGGAAGAAGATCACAAAATTCACTCTGTCTATGGCGGCTAGAACGTGAAAGGCGGTAAACAGGGTCCTGGAAAACCATGAGCTCCAAATCTCCCGCCTGCCCGTCCCACCCAACATCTCCATCACGTAGTTCTTCCAACAGACCCTGAATCTCTTTTGAGCAAGAAACATATGGCACACTCAAATTAGGGTATTTGGAAAGGTGTAGGCCAGTGTGCAAGGGGCACACCAGTGTGCAGGGCCATTAGCACTGCCAGTCCTACTCACTTGGACAACCTAGAAATGAGGGGCCCAGCCCACAAGTGATACAGTCACTCACCCCATAGGAACCTCTGAAATCTAATATTTCACCACCGCACCGGGGTGAACATGGAAGTTGGAGGGCTGTCACTGTGGTCCCTGGGATCCAGGCATCTGTATGAAGGGGAAGCTTATTAAGGCCCTCGTATCAGTCTGTGGGGATCTGCCCTCCCAGAGCTATGCAGCAGCCATTCCGGGCTTTGTCACCTGCCATGTTTCTGGAGGCTCACTGGGCTAGAAGATTACAACACCCTCAGGACCAGGAGAAGCAGAGCTCCATGTCTTTTGAAACTTAGCACACTGCAGTTCCTAATGTCCTGACCTATTCAAACCACTGAGGCTAAAGAGGTTCAAGTCGTCAGAGCCAGGTGTCCAGTAAATAACCCAGCCTGAGAATAGGCCAGATGAGAGATGAAAGATGAGGAGAGCCTCCCACGGCCAGAGACAGTTGTTGAAACTACTCCAGTTGCCTTCAGTGGCCGCAGGCCCTGCTGGGTGGCTTTATATCCCCATGGGAGAACAAAGAGGTGTCCCATCGATCTTCCTCTTTGGACCCCAGTTCCAAGCCAGTTCCAACACCAGCTGCCCCTGCCAGAAGGTGCTGTGGTCCCAAGAACTCCCAGTGAAGGATGAGAACTGTCGGGTGCTGGTCTGCAGTGAGGCAGGTACAGAGATTGAGTGCAGGTGTTTACAAACTTTTATAGCAACTTGCCAGAATAATGCTGTCCCTGTTGCATCTGAATATCTTTGGTTTGTTTTTAATTTCATTTATCTCGTAGTTAGTTTTTATCATATTTACAAAAATATCAGTCTATGTTAGAAACCAGGCCCTTCACCACATAGAGCTGGAGAAGCTCTATTCCAGGCCCCCTTTTTCAGGAGACTCTCTGGAATCCTGCTACTCTGGGCTCCATGGACTGTTCACTGGCTTTACCTTAAATAATAGTATAAAGGGTAATCATCATCTGACCATTCCTGCTTTAAAGGCCCTTGAGATGCACAGCCCTGTCCTTAGCCACCTGCCTCACCCCTAAAATGAGAGATGAGATGCCTTTGAAGTCTGGGCTTAGCGGGAGGAGGAGGCTCATGTCTATTATGATTATAAGGACAATAGTGATAACCATTGTTCTTGTTTCTTGGGCACTTCCTGGGCGCCAAGCACTGCGTGGAATGCTTTACTGCATTCTCTCACTAAATTCCCACTCTGACCCTAAAAATAGGGATCATTTCTCCTTTTTACATGTAAGGAAGCTAAGACAACTTGTTCAAGGTCACACAACTTTAAGTGACACAGCCGGAGTCCAAAACCAAACCCAAACCCATGTGTGTCTCTTCTAAAGCCCACACTTAAAGACACCGCATGCTGTTTTTGAATTAAGCTTCATTCTTAGTCCTCTGTATTGGCACCACAGGGACCTGGCCGGTGTCAGCATCTGTCATGTTGGATCTTAAGTCACACATTTCTCCAGGAAGCAGTGGGATTTAGAAACATGAAAACTGTGAGTCCCCGCTGCTCTTGAGGAACATGAAAGCCCACTGTCAGCTACCATTTCTGCTCTGCATGGGAACTGCAGTGGGAAAGGGTGTGAACTACTCTGCAGTGGTTTAAAGAAATCCACCAAGGACCACAAATGCCTTTCCTCTAGAGTGGAAAGGCAGGTCTGCACCAGGGGCCCCAGGATTCTTTGCAAAAGCAATGTCCTCGGAAGCCGAGTGCAAGGGCCGAGCCCCAGGTGGAAATCCACAGGCAGGCCAGAGATGGGCATGCACTGTGCCTGCTGGAGGGAGGTAGAGTATTGGCCTGCCCCCATAAAGCCAATGAGAACCAAGTCTGGTGCATGTACCTGGATGCAATTCTCAAGGCCCCAAGGTGCAGGGCCCCCAGGCTTACTGAATGAGCAGGCAAGAGGAGGACTTATCTTTTAAAAGGAGGGGCTAAAAGCACGGGACCTGAGTCTTGTTTAGAAAATCCACTAATTAGGTATATGACCTTGGGCAAAGTTCAAGGGCAAAGCTGCTCAACCCACCAAAACACCAGTTTCCTCGATATAAAATGGGGAATATTCAAAGACTTGAATGAGATGATGCATGCAAAGCAGTGGACATGGGCAGGATGACTGAGGAAAACCTGAATTTTGGACGTGGTTGCCATTCTTCCTAGATTCTTCTCACACTTGTTCTTTCCTCACAGCAAAGTTGGCCTGTGATGACCAAATTCATATTCTCAAGCAGCACAGACGTAAAGAACTGGAAACACGGCAAAAACAGTATCGGTGAGTTATGACATCAGAACAAATGGCCATAGGGCCACAGTTTCTTCTATCCTGGTAGCATGCTATGAACTCAACCCTACTCACAGCATATGGTCCATCCCTGCTGCTAAGTGATGCCCAAGCCACCAGCTCCCTGTGGAACTCCTCAGCCCCCAAGCCCCACCAGACCACAACTCCAGGCAGAGACTGTGAAGGCAGTTAAGGAAAAATTGTATTGAGACCAATTCTTTTAGCATTTAGGAGGAAAAGGGCATCAAAAGCTTGGATTTACCTTAATGTTCTCTCACTTCCTGTTGTAGGGATTACCCCTCACTTTTTATGTTTTCCAATAGTAATTCATTTATAAAAGTAATAATCTACAACAAGACTGACAAATCTTTAGCCAACAAAATAGAATGTGAAGCTTCAAATTATTAAAATTAGAAATAGAGCATCAATATCAACTTCACAGAAATTTAAATGAATAAAAAGTAATATGCTATGAATACCTATATACCAACCAATTAGATAACCCAGGTGAAACAGACAAATTCCTAGAAAGACAGAAACTACCAAAACTGACTCTAGAAGAAATAATCTGAGTAGATCAATTATAAGAAAAAAGATTGAATTAATAATTTTAAATGTCAACAAAGAAAATCCAAGGTCCAGATGGCTTCACTGGTGAATTCGACTAAACATTTAAAGAATTAGTACCAATCTTGCATAATCTCTTCAAAAAAATAAAGGAGGAGGGAGCACATCCAAACTCATTGTAGGAGACCAGTGTTATACCAAAACCAGAAAAAATGTCATAAGAAAAGAAAGCTAAACACTGATATCTTACGACTATAGATGCAGACATTTTCGACAAAATACTAGCAAGTTGAATCCAGCAGCATGTAAAAGGCATTATACAATATGACTAGGTGCAATTTATCGTAAGTATGCAAAGTTGGCTTAACATCCAAATGTCAGTTAATGTATTTCATATCAATAATGAACAAAAAATATATAATCATCTCAATAGACACACAAGAAAGCATTTGACAAAAGCCAACACCCTTTCATGATTAAAAAACTCTCCAAAAATTGGAGTTGAAGGGAACTTCATCAACCTGATAAAAGACACCTATGAAAAACTCACAGCTAACATCATACTTAATAGTGAAAGACTATACATGCTTTTCTCTGAAGACCCAGGAACAAAAAAGGATACCAGCTTTTTCCACTTCTATTCAACATAAAACTTAAAAACTTTTGCACTTCAGAGATTACGATCAAGAAAGTGAAAAGATAACCCACAGAATGGGATAAAATATTTGCAAACTGTGTATCTGATAAAAGACTTGTATACAGAATATGTAAAGAACTCTTACAACTCAATAAAGACAAATAATCTAAATTAAAAATGGACAAGGTCCTAAATAAACATTTTTCCAAGCAAGATTCAGAAATGGTCAATAAGCACATGAAAAGATTCTTGCAATTATTTATCAGGGAAATGCAAATCAACACCACATGAGATACCACTTCACACTCACTAAGATGGCTAGAATCAAAAATTCAGAAAATAACAAGTGTTGACAAGGATGTAGTGAAATTGGAACCCTCATACACTGCTGGAGGGAATGTAAAATTGTGCCACTGCTTTGGAAAACAGTCTGGTAGTTCCTCATACTATTAAATAGAGAGTTACCATATGATCAAGCAATTCCACACCTAGGCATATACCCAAGAGAAATGAAAACATATGTCCACACATAAAGCTGTGCATGAATGTACAGCATTATCTGTAATAAGCAAAAGGTGAATACAACACAAATGCCCATTAAATGATGAATGTATAAATAAAATGTGATATATCTATTGAATGGAATATATTTCAGTCATAAAAAGAATGAATAAGCACTTCTCCAGAGAAAATATATGAATGGCCAGTAAGCACATGAAAAGATGCTTAACACCAGTAGTGTTGCAGCCACTTTGGGAAACAGTTTGGGTGTTGCACAAAATCTTAAAACAGAATCACCTACAAGCAGTTCTACTGTTAGGTATCTACACGAGAGTGGTGAAAATATGTCTACACAAAGAAAAACTTTTACACAAGTATTCACAGCAACATTATTCATAGTAGCCAAAAATGGAAACAACCGAAATTCCATTAACAGATGAATGGATCAACAAAATGTGGTATAGCCATACAATGGACTTATTTGGTAGTAAGGAATGAACTATGGATACATGCTAACCCATGGTTGAACTTCAAAAACATTATGCTAAATGAAAAAGTCATTTACAAAGACCACATTTTGTGTGCTTCTGTTTATATGAAATGCTCAGAATAAGCAAGTCTGTGAACACAGATTAGTCAATTCATGATTGCCTAGGGCTGGAAACTGGGAATAGGGTCATTTCTAAGCAGCCATTAATGGTTGCAGGGTTTCTTTTTGGAGTGAAAACATTTCCAAATTAGATTATGGTATGGTTGCTCACCTCTGTAAATACATGAAAATCTTTTTAATTTGATACTTTTAAGAGGTGAATTTTATCATATGTAAATTATATCTCAATGTAGCTGTTTTTAAAAATAATACATGATGTAGAGTGGTCATCTAGAAAATGATGGTCAGTGGGCTGTATCAAGCCTATAACATGTTTGATAGGTCATGTGGAGTTCTGAGTAAACAGGGCTTTTACTCTTCAGATGCCCCAGTCCAACACCAGTGTATTTTCTGTATCAAGACTTCCCCGTTACCTCCTTTAACTCCTTCACAGTGAAAGGAGTGGAAGGAATCCAGGTCAACAGCCATTGTGGTACCTGGGCTGCAGAGGAATCTGTGGGCAGAGATGACTGTTAAACCTTTCCACATATTCCTGTGCTGTTTTCCACAATTCCTCTATTCTTACAAAGAATATGTAATATGTCAGTTTTTTTAATTCAATAAAGCAAAATAAGGGGAATAATATAGAAGCAGAAGAATACCTATAATTCATCTTACTTATTCTGGATTTTACTGTACATAAGACTTGACACCCTCCTTTTTTTGTTCACTAAAAGACACCACAAAGAGTTAGAAGGCAGTATGCAGAGTGATGGGCAAGAATTATTATTTGTAACATGCAAAGACACCTACAAATCTATAAGAATATCATCCATTCAGTAGAAAACTGGGCATTGCACCACTGCACAAAATATGAGCAGCAAGGGTACAAAAAGGTTCTCTGTCTCAGTCATAATTGGAGAATCAAAAGTGCGATCACAGTGAATTACTACTACTGTCACTGCTACTACCACCACTACTCGTACTACTACTAACACACACACACACACACACACATACCCAGATGGGCAAAGCTGAAACATTTGCCAATACCCAAGTGTGGAGGGGGGGAAGGCTCACAGGATGCTGGCAAGAGTGTAAATTATACAACCTCTGTAGAAAACTATTTTGCAACATCCAGTAAAATTGAAGCTACATTATAATCTATGACCCTAAAGTTCTATTCCTGGATCCAAATCTGTATGCATGTGCACCTGGATACATGTACAAAGATGTTCACAACAGCATTTTTTATGACAGCCCAAAAATGGAAACCACCCAATGTCCCTCAGCAGTAGAAAAGATAAGTAGATTGTGATGATCCTACCCTGCAAGAAAAATCAGTGAACTGCTGCCACACAGAGCAGTGTGGACAAACGTCACAAATACAGTATTGAAGAACAGAAACCAGACATAACATGTCTGGCCAATCCATAAAGTTTGGAATTATTTTATTATTTAAAGATTGTTATTTAGGGAAACATACAATGGTGGAACAATAAACTAGCAAGGAAATGATTATCATAAAAGTGAGGAAGATGATTGGGAGAAGTTGGATGAAGGTTGAAGGTACTGACAATGTTCTCTCAATCCAGATGTTGGTTATACAGATGTTTTATGCATTTTCTGCATGTGTGTGTGCATATATACATATACATACATACATATATTTATATATTCTGTTTCATAATAAACATTCTAAAATAAAACCTTAAATCTTTATATCAGCTGGGGGACAATCTACTTATACTGTGGGTAAGGATTTATGAATTTCTGATTTGTTTTAGAATATTTATGTGTAAGCCTCTCAGCTCAGGCACCATATGATGTGTTTTGAGACTTTTGTACTAGGTACAATACAGAAGACATTGCCCAAGAGCTCTGCACCACCCATTCCCATTTTAAAGAGTTGTTTCTATGCTCCTTCCTCGGCTTTCCTCCCCACTTCAAGCACCCATGGAAAAGCTCCTACAGTGGGCATTCCATATGCTTCTGGCCTTGAGGAAGGAAGGAGTCCTAGGTTGTGGTGATGTTAACTTCCAGAGAATCAGGCTAGTTTGTGTCCTATTGGGAAGTGGACAGCAAGTCTTAACAGTTTCATACTAATAAGTACCTATCAAACTAATTCAGACTAAGATGTTAATGGCTGATAAATTAGCCTTTTAAATAACCCAGTATTTTAAAATGTGCTCTGGAGCACTGATCCCAAAACTTTCTCCCCAGAAAACGGTCCCATGGTTAAAAAAAGTTTGGGAAACTGTTCTTCACATCCCCTTCCTTTAGGTCCACAATGCATATAAGCATTGAGTATTCTGAGAAGTTCTATGGTAGTGAACCATGGTTAATGTATTTTAACCCAGTGTTTCCCAAGATAATTTGACATTTGACTCTTAATGTCCTGCAGAATGAGTGTTCTATGGAACACACTTGGGGAAACACCTCTTTACCAGAAAGAGGTGGATTCAATGGTGTATTTGTTTCAAAGGGATGGGGTTCTTGGCAGCTTCAAAGGATATGGGGCAGCAGGGTTTTCTGGTGAGACAGATTGCTCTTTGATCTAATTGTCATTTTTGCTTACCCCTTCCACTCAATTGCCTTTTTCAGACTCCCTCCTCTCCTTCCGTTCAGGAAATGCTGAACTTTGCACTGTCTGCATAATCTTGAGGTTCCTCTTTCACATGAACTCTCAGGCTTCCA